CAGAGGGGCCAGGGATTTAGCTCAGTGATTCCGTGGCCTGCCTCATGAGTACAAGTTCGATCCCTGGTACTCCCCCTCAAAAAATTTTTTTGACTCAGAAATTTCCATTAATTCAGTGCTTTTACGTAATAGTTCTGTATGACTTACAGAAAAAGGATTTAAGGTACACAGAATTTCTAAGTTGCATGTATATATGGTTTTTGAAAATATTAGTACATGTTTGCAGTACACATAGTTTAAAATCATCTTGGAGAATGGGTACAGGTACTACAGCTTGCTTTTGTTTTTGGTACCAGGGATCAAACTCAGGACCTTGCGCTTGGGAGGCAGGTAGCGGAACCACTGAGCTAAATCCCCAGCCTGGTTTTTTGCTTTTTTAAAAATAGAACAACTTTACAGATTTTAAATGTTCAGGCCAGGGATTTAGCTCAGTGGTTCCGGTGCCTGCCTCGCAAGCACAAGGTCTCAAGTTCGATCCCCAGTACCAAAAAAACAAAAAAACAGATTTTAAATGTTCACATCACAAAAGAAAAAAGTATAAAAAGAGATAGTGAATGTGTTGATTTGGCCACTCCACAATATGTAAAATACCCTTTAAAATGTCCATTAACAAATCTACAGAAAATACTTTCAGAAAGTATGTTTTAAACGTTGTGATTGTATTTATGACAAAAAATTAAAAAAATTACTAGCAAAAAGACAAGATTTCAAGTTCAAAATAGCGCAAAAAATTGAGTGCTTTCATTTGATTGTTACTTAGATAAAGGTGAGATTTAGACAACTGAAGTTCCTTAAAATATAGATTAAATTAGCCTTTGCTCAAGATAGTTTCTACATCCTTAAACTTCATTTAAGGTCCCTTTAATTCTCCCCTGTACAGATAGATAGCAAAAAGGCTCTAGCAGTCTATGATCTTACCTTACTACTGATCACATCCCTTCCAAGAGCATAGCATTTCATCTTTTTTCTTCTTCTGGTGATGCTGGGGATTTAACCCAAGGGTGTTACAAATGTTAGGTAAGTACTCTACTGTGATAGCCAACCCAACTCCATCTTGAGCTTTAACACCATTTTGTACCTGTGCTTGAACAAAGTGCTTGTGTTTGGACAAAGCTCCCCTAACCCCTGCATCCTGTTTGGCAGTAAACTTGCTGCAGTTGCAGGATGTTTTGTAGCTCACCTAAGTACGTGAAACTTCCTTGTGGCACCCTACTAACTTGGGATGGCTCTGCTTCTGTAAGATTTTGCTTGCTCTCAACTGAAAGTATGATTTAAAAGGAGAAATCGAACCACTTCCTGTTGCTGAGAGAACTTTCCAAGCACTACCCCCCCCCCACCTCGGCCGCCAGCTTTAATAAACAGACCCAAATCTGGCAGAGTGTATGGTGCATCTCCATTGTTCTAACTCGCTTGTCCATAACACTACCACTAAGCTACTCTCCAGCCCCTCCATCACTCTAACAAATCTTCAGTACTATTCTCCTTCATCAGCCTAGGTTACCTGTTCAGCACAGAGACAGATCACTTTGTTTTAAGGGATGTTTCAAAATCTGATACTTTTCTATTATGCTTAAGAAAAAATCCTAGATAACTACTTACACAATTTGAAGAAAACATATCTTAATTGTAATATAAAGAAATAAAGGGGGCTGGGGATTTAGCTCAGTGGTTCCAGTGCCTGCCTTGCAAGAGCAAGGTCCCAAGTTCGATCCCTGGTTCCAAAAAAAAAAAAAAAGAAAGAAAATTTACAATAAAATGTATGCTATGATATACAGCATGGCTATAATAGCAAATATAAAGACGAATGCATAGTAATTACAAATGAAAACTGACCCTGGTGTGTTTTAAGGGTATCCCACTTTGATGACATAGGTTTCCAAAATGGTGAACTCTTGGAAATGTTCCAAACAAAAGTTCTTTTTCCTTGATTTATACAGTAGTTATGTTGCTAGAAAACTCAGTATGCTGCATATTAAAACCATAAAAAGGAGTGGGGATATAGCTCAGTGGCAGAAAGCTTGCCTAGCATGCTTGAGGCCCTGGGTTCAATTCCTAATACTACACACAAAAATATTTTATTTATATTTACAAAAGTGCTAGTTTCTAGAACAGATCATTCTGGATAAGTTCTTTACCTGTATGAATTATCTGATGGGATACTAGAAGGTCATGTAGGATACAGGATAGCTCTTCCTGGTCTCTGCTCATCAAATATTAGTAGTATCGGGCTGGCAATTTAGTTCAGTGGTTCCAGCGCCTGCCTTGCAAGCACAAGGTCCCGAGTTCAATCCCCAGTACCAAAAAAAAAAAAAAATTAGTAGTATCCTCCTAACATTAAAAAACTACCCCTACCAGGCTGGGTATTTAGCTCAGTGGTTCTGCCGCCTGCCTCGCAAGCACAAGGTCCCAAGTTCAATGCCTGGTACCAAAAAAAAAAAACTAGCCCTACCTACTATTAAAATGCCTCCCCTATGAGTAGTACCTCCCTTAAGAGCCACTGGTTGCTGGACTTGGTGGCACAACTGTAATCGCAAATAATTTGGAGGTCTGAGGTAGGAAGATCACAAGTTCAAGGCCAGCCTGGACAACTTACCAAGACTGTCTCAAAAGGAAAACTTAAAAGGGCTGAGGGTGTAACTATGTGATAGAATACAAGCATAGGCCCTAGGATGCATGCATAGGTCCTGGGACCAATCTTCAGCACCCCTCCCCAAAACAAAACACCACTGGGCTAGAGGCAATAGGACTAAGCCCATTGGGCTCACTCAAACCTTGTTTCTGTCACAAAACCAGGGGTGGGTGTGGGTGGATGGACTACAGATAGAAAGCTAACAGTATCTATCAACACTAATTTCCTCACTCATAAATTAAGAGAACTTCAAGTTTGCTACAGATAAAGGGCTTTGTATTAAGGCAATTCCTCTGTATTTACTCAAGTTCAACTCATGTTCACACGTTCAAATTCACATAATTTACACCTTTCAAGGTGATTTACAAAATATATTAGGTTTCAGACAACATTCAAATCCATTTAGTTGAAATGTTAAGTTTCAGGAGAAAACAATGATATCATCAACTCAATATCCACTAAAGTTTAAGTCCCAAATACTTCTTGGCTTTAATAGAAATGTTTGTACATTCACTTACTTCATGGTTGATATTGGAAATCACTGCAGAAAAAAAGTCTATGAATCTTAAATTTTTGTTTCATCTAACATCATACTTGGTTATTATTATTATTATTTTTTTGGTACCAAGGATTGAACTCAGGACCTTGTGCTTTCAAGGCAGGCGGCGGCACTACTGAGCTAAATCCCTGGCCCGCATCCTTGCTTATTAAGGCTTATCCACAGTACTATGAATTAAAAAGCTTGCTATCATTCTTGTGGCCCCTCAATGGACTAAAAGCCTCTTGAGCCAAACACCCGTATGGAAATAGGAAAGGTTATCTTTCTCACAAGGAACTTTGTCATCTAAGAAAGTTTAAATAAAGCAAAGGTCCTTGGCTTTTTAGATTATCATGGAAGAATGTTCTACACTCAAAATTTCTTTATTCCAGCTACTAAAAAGCAGTTATCCAGCAACTTAACCTGTCCCTGCAGTTAGCAACATAAAGAAAACATGAGAGAAAATTGACCTTGTTTAGTCACTTTTTCCTGTCCTCTAGCAATGTTCTGGAAAATATGTAGTTCACATGACCAAATTATACTAGGATGCTGCAGAGTCCCATGGCAGCTGTAGTTGTACTTTCTTTTTTTTTTTTTGGTGGAATAATACCCATCAGCAAGAGAGTGGAACTTTTAAAAGGCAGCTGCAGCTGGTATTCCTAATTCAGTTTCCCAGATTTATCAAATATGTCATGGCACTGGGATATGGAATTTCAGTATTTAAAAAAATTCAAAGCCAGGTTTTTAAAAAACTCTGAAATCTGCTCTTTCATGTTCTCCTAAAAAGCAGAAAGAGTGCTGTTGTCAAGGCCAAGAAAAAAGGGAGAATTTATAAGCAAACTTAATACACAGCAAGGATGCCCAAGTAAACTGTCAAAGACATTAGTGACAGTAGTAGTACAGGGCTTACACACCAATGCATCAGAGCAAGGCCCAGCCTTCTAATTTACTTCTAAAGAATTCATCTTGGTAGGGAGAGAGTCATAAAGATAGAGATTACATCTAAAAATCAATACCATTTAAAGCAAATCTATTTTTTCTTTTGGTATCAAGGATCGAACTCGGGTCCTTGCGCTTGCGCAGCAGGTGGTGAAACCACTGAGCTAAATTCCCGGCCCAGGGAGGGGATTGGGTTTTTTTGAGACTATGTAGTCCAGGCTGGACTACCTCCTGCCTGGGATTACAGGTGTGTACCACCATGCCTAGCTTCCCTTCTTTCAAAGATGAAAACAAAATGGATACATCAGGTTTCTATTATTAAAAAGCAGGCTGGGTGTGTAGGTGCATGCCTGTAATCCCCGCACTTGGGAGACTGAGGCAGGAGGATTGCTGTGAGTTTGAGGCCAGCCTGAACTACGTAGTGAGACCCTGTCTCAAAAAACAAAGCAAAACAAAAAAGCTGTAAACTTAAGAACCATGCCAATAGTCTCTTACTATATTTAGTCCTTAAACCTTGCCAATATATAAAATTATCTAAAATAAGAAAAAAAAAAGAGAAACATCCAATGAGAGAATGTTTAATAAATGGTATTGAGACAAACAGGTATCTGTTTCAATCAAAAATAAAATTAGATCCTTAAATATTGCACCATATAGAAAAATACATATATGATGAAGAGTAAAAAATTTTAAAAAAGCAAATAACCAAACTTCTACATATAATTTTAGGGGGCTCATAGGCTCTCTAAAACCCATCCACAGATTCCAGATTATTACACAGAAAATTGTTAATTATAACTTCTACCAAAACCTCAATGCCAAAGAAACCCTCCATGCCAAATACTAGATATATTTTCAAGATCAAGTCACACGAAACAAATGAAGATGAACACATTAACTCATTGTTATAACTTTATAAAACCTCCAAACTGGAACTAGAAACAAAAGCATGTCAATACAAATGGACAACATCTTAAAAAAAAATACACCGGTTTAAATAAGTTTGAGTGCATACTATACAAGTGTACCCATGTCTCTTAACTTTTCCAAAATATAAAATCAGCTAAATCTGTAGTACTTAAAAGTCAACATGTACAATGTTATTCTCAAACTTCATTAAATAAATACAAGTTATGTTTGAGTAACCGCAACATACTTAAACATCTAAACTTATAGGAATTCTATTTTAAAATGTAATACTTTCACCTGCATTAATTTCGTACACATGGAAAAATACTTAGATAATAATTAGCATTAAGAATGTAAATATATTTTTACTGTGGAAGAAAAATTATAGTAATAAGTTTAGAAATCATATATTTGCATAATCTACAACAAAGCTGTAGACAGTCTACATTATGATATTCTATCTGAAAATGAAAATAATACTTACGTTTACAATAAATTTATTCAAGGCAAAATATGTTTATTACAGAACAAGATCTTAAAGTAAGCAAAGCAACATTAGATGAACCATTTTAGATGATTTTTTTAATGAACTGTGGCTTTAAAACTGTAATAAAGATGAACATAAATTCTAACATGCTCTTATAAATGGGAGGATGTAGAAAAGCAAAGCTTCAAAGTGTAGGGATTGGAACCATCTGTAAAAAAAAAAAAGTTTTAGAAACCAAGTTAATAAATAGTTCACCTCATCAAACTTTCCCCTAGACTTAACAGTAAATTTTTTCATCTGCTTATATTATCAGCATCAGGAATATACAGGAAAACTTGTTAAGGGGAAGATTACTTTGCTCCTATTTTACTGGATGGTAAGCTCCATAAAGGGCAGTCACTTTTGTTCACTGCTAGATTCCTATTCTTTTTTTTTTTTTTTTTCGGTACCTGGGATCAAACTCAGGTCCTTGCGCTTGGAAGGCAGGCTGCAGAACCACTGCACTAAATCCCTGGCCCATAGATTCCTATTCTTTTGTGGAATCACTTGGTGTTCAAGAAATCTAGTATTAAATCTCTGATTATCAATGGTGCACTAAGTTCTGACTAAAACATTTTGGGGAATAACTGACAAAAATATTCCCATTTAAAAATTTTCTTTGATTGTTTATGTATTAAATCATAGCAAAGCAATAATTCTGGTACCTTAATGTACCAGAATTTTAGTACTAAAGGCTACAGTTCCTGCAGAGCAAGGTGGCACATGCTTATAATCCCAGCACTCAGGAGGCAGGAGGATCACTCAAGAACAGCCTGAACTACATAGCGAGACTTGGTCTCAAAAAAAGAGAAAACACACAAGCATAAGGTCCTGAGTTCAATCCCATATACCAAAACAAACAAACAAACAAAAAATTAAAATAAAAGGTACACCTCCTTAAGGAGAAAAAAATCCTTTAAAGTTAAAAACAAGGGGCCGGGGATGTAGCTCAGTGGCACCATGCCTACCAGGCAAGTGCAAGGTCCTGAGTTCAATTCCTGATACTAGGAAAAAAAACGCTAAAAACAAGTATTTACAAGACATTGCAAAGGATAAAAAGATAAATAACTGTCACTGTCTCCAGAGAGTTGACAATCCATAAAATATATTGAATGTATTTCAAATAAGGTCAAAATATTTTCAAACGTTTTATTCAAAATAAGTTAAGGAAATTTTCAAAGACATGCAAAACTTTTTCTCATATATATATATATATATATATATATTTTTTTTTTTGGTACCAGGGATCGAACTCGGGTCCTCGCACTTGCGAGGCAGGCGGCGGAATCACTGAGCTAAATCCCCAGCCCTTTCCCCTATATTTTTAAAAAATGAAAATTTAAAGCTGGGCATAGTGGCACATGACTGTAATTCTGGTACTCGGGAGGGAAAGGCAGTAGGATCACTGTGAGGTCAAGGCCAGCCTGAACTGCAGAGTGAGACCTTGTCTCAAAAAAATAGTAATACCCTTAACATTTGGGATCTAAGTAAATTACCCAGCACAGTTTCTTAAACTTGAATGTTCTTTGCATAGTTAAAAAAAAAAGAGGTCTTTTACCATTTTAGAGACAACAAAGACGAAGACAGTTTCACTTAGTATAAAACAATGGAATATCATTTTTGTTCTCACTGGTATACCAAAACTGAAGTTCTGACTGTTGGTAAAAGTGGGCCATTTTCATATATGGCAGAGGGAAATATACACTAGTGCAACTTTTCAAAACGGCAATCCAGCAACATTCTACCAAAATGTAAACCTTAGTGCCTTCCACTATTAGAAAGCTGACCTATAAATACACACTATAAAGTGCCAGCTAACGGGCCGGGGATTTAGCTCAGTGGTTTCGCTGCCTGCTGCACAAGCGCAAGGACCCAAGTTTGATCTCCGGTACCAAAAAAAAAAAACAACAACAAAAAAATAAAGTGCCAGCTATAAACACACTTACTGCAACGGAAATAACAAATGGAAACAACCGTAGTGTCCAAATAAACTGTGGCACATTTCTACTATGAATAGTTACCCTGAAGATGCACTAAAAATTTTTAAAAAGCAGCTCTGCATGTGTCAATATAGAAATAGTTTCAAGATATATTAAGTACAAAGAGCAAAGAATAGAAGAATATGTATGAAGTGTTTTGTGTACATTTCGGGGGGGGTTACTGGGGATCGAACTCAGGTCCGTTAGCTTGTGCAGCAGGCGGCGAAACCACTGAGCTAAATCCCTGGCCCGTTTTGTGTACATTTTAAAAATGTAGATGTATTATATGGGGAGGAAGAAAAGGATGGAGAGGTTGTAGAAAGCTTTAACTTTTTATACTGTTCCTTTATACGCTGTCTTAACTATATCATGTATTGCTTTCCTTTGAAATGGTCAACAGATGTGGAAGCCAGCCCAAATGATCCCTTCTCTCCTGATATTCACAAAACTATACCATGTCCTGTATGACCAAAAGAATACAATGTTAAGTGATGGTAGGTTGCTTCCAATATTAAATTATGAAAAACACTTAGATCACTCATTCTGCAGGAAAGCCAGCTACGACGAAAAGGCCAATGTGGCTTCACTGGGCCTGATGACAATCACAGGAGTGAGCTTAGAAGCAGATTTTCAGCCCCACTCAAACCTTTAACTGCAAATTCACCATACAACTATGCAGTGGAACTGCACCCAGATTAATGACCCTCAGGAACAGTGAAATAATAAATGTTTGTTGTTTTAAGCTGCTAAATGTTAGGACAATTTGTTATATAGCAATAGGTAATTAATACAGGGATTACTTGGGTGTGGGATTCTATGCCCTTTTTTCCCTGTACTTCTCTAAAAACCAACAAAAAAGCTGGGGAGGGGACTTAGCTTAGTGGGAGAAAGAGAGGGATAGAGAGAAAGAAAGAAATTCTGCTAAGCATTTTTAAAAATCATTGTCAATGGTTCTGAAGGTTAATTCCTATTGAATAATTGACACACAAAAACACATTTTACTTACTTGGGACTCTGATCTGGTAGTGATTAAGTGCAGTAAGAGCTTCCACTGCATCAGTTTTGCATTCCCATTCTAACAGCCCAGAAAGCGTTTTGGCGGAAGCTAAAACAAAACAAAGACATAAAAACAAACAAACACACATAAATCCAGTTGTTACTTGCTTATTGTCAGTTTTGTCCAGAATAGTTTAGAAGAGGGAATGTTACTTACGTTTCGCATCAAACACTTTATATTTGATGAATGTAAGAACTTCATGGTCATTACACAACTGCCAAAAAAAGGTGAAACTTAATAAAAAATATTGCCAAAATAATATTGTCACTTTTTGGGGGTTGAAAATAAGTTTTATAGAGCAGTATTTAAGGCTTGAGTGTAATATGAATTAAAACAAATATATTTTCAGGTTAATATCAAGTTCTATGAGAAAAATATTTTAAAATAGTGAAATCCGATATAGTAACTTTTGCTATTAGTATCAAAAGCAGAACAAAAGACATTTAAAGTGAGGCTAAGACACTATATAAATCTGCTCCATCTTTTTTTTTTTGGTACCGGGGATCAAACTCGGGACCTTGCACTTGCGAGGCAGGCGGCAGCACCACTGAGCTAAATCCCCAGCCCAATATTAATAAATCTTAAAACAGGACATATGTCAACATTCTACACACATTTGTATTTTAGTGCCTACCTTTGTGAAGGTCTCTTCAGTAACACACAATGGAACATTATAATAATGCAGCACACACGAGGGTGGTTGGATTATATTCTTAGATGCTTGGCCAGCACTTGTAAAACGATTATTTTTGCTCATTGCAAAATCTTTGTAGCTACTTGTACCATCTTCCAGCTCAAATATTTGACTTGGAACAACTGAATGTTGTTTAGACACACTGAAGACAGGAAAAGAAAAACACACACCAACAGGTAGTCAGTCTCAAAATGTTTCCATGAATTTCAACAAGAGAGGTTACGTGTGGCTATTTAAACATAGTGTAGTCATCCCTTGGTATCCACAGAGATTGGTTCCAGGACTCTATAGATAACAAAACCCAAGGATACTCAAGTCTCTTATATAAAATGGTGCAGTGTTTGCATATATCCTATGTATATCCTCCCATATACTTTAAGCCATCTCTAAATTATTTATAATATTTAATACCAGGGAAAAAAATCTGTACAATTTCAGTATAGATAGAATTTTTCCCCCTAAGTATTTCTGGTCCATGGTTGGTTGAATCCATATGTACCGAATCTGCAGACACAGAAGACCAACTGTATTTAGTATGGGCTAAAATCAATCCTTTACTGTTTAAGAATTGGAAAGAAAACCTATTAAATATATTCTCATATTGAAAACCTTTAACATAAGCCAGGCATGGTGGCACAAGCCTGTAATCCCAGGACTTGGGAGGCTGAAACAGGAGGACTGAAGCAAGTTCAAAGACAGCCTGGGTTACACAGTTAGTTGAAGGCCAGCCTGAACCACACAGTGAAACCCAAACCATTAACATAAAAAAGTTGCCCATTTTAACATGCTGTTTCATGATCCTAAAACTATTAACTAGGTATGGCTAAATAAAATATAAATTATATAACCCTAAAACTTGTCTAAAATGACAATACTACTGCCTGCTAGTTTTGGATGCGCTCAGTTATAAGTATTCTATTCTATTCTTATCTATTTATCTATCTAACTATTTTTTTTTTTTCCACCGGGGATCGAACTCGGGACCTTGTACTTGCAAGGCAGGTGCCAGAACCACTGAGCTAAATCCCCGGCCCCTACTGTAAGTATTCTAAAGTTGAAATCAATGTTTCTAATAAAAAAGAACAAGAATTTTAAAAAATATCACTTAAGATAAGTAATTACCAAACATTAAGTCTTTTCCCAAACAATTTGACATTGTTAAGGTGTGTAACAGCTCTTTCTACAGCGTACTCATCACCCATTTCTACCAGTGCTGTGCCAGGAATAGTCTTCATAAATTTTACCTGTAAATAAAAAAATACCCAAAAAAGTGACTATATAATTACTTTTTACAATAACAGAATTTTTTAAAGTGTGATTTGAATGGTTAAAGTCAAATACGGAATATCACTTAGAATCTTAAATATATTCTGCCATGTATGAGACATCTTAGCAAAATCCAATCATGTTAAAAAAGAATGTAATTGTAATTCTATTGTATAGCACACAGAAGAGCACAGGCTTATCTTGGCTGTTCTTTAACTGTGTGATATGGAGGGAATTTACCTAATTTCTCCAAGTCTCAGACTGTTTCTGCAAAAAACAGAGATACTGCTAAATATCTAGGATTCATCCTTGACTCATCAATATTCCTTCATTCAACAAGTTTTGATAAGCAGTGTACCAGGTACAAAGGATGACTATGATCTTCAACCTTATATTCTAGTAGGCTGCTCAAAATTTTAAAGTAAGCCAAGTGTGGCTTACTTAGGTGGTACATGCCCATAATCCCAGCACTTGGGAAGCTGGGCAGGAGGATCACTGTGAGTTCAATGCCAGCCTGGGGTACATAGTGAGTTCAAGGCAGCCTGAACTACACAGCAAAGAACTTGTCCTTAAAAAAAATTTTTTTTAAGTAAATAATAAAACTATGCAGTTCTGTTAAGGCAATAAATAAAATGCTATATAATAAATAATACAAGCTGGGTGTGGTGGTGCACCCCTGTAATCCCAGCACTGGAGAGGCTGAGGCAGGAAGATCACTGCAAGTTTGAGGCCAGCCTCAGCTACATAGTGAATTCAAAATCAGCCTGAATGGGCCAGGGATTTAGCTCAGTGGTTTTGCCGCCTGCTGTGCAAGCGCAAGGACCAGAGTTCGATCCCTGGTACCAAAAACAAACAAACAAACAAACAAACAAATAAATAAATAAATGTGCATTACATACCTAACAATTCGGGCCGGGGATTTAGCTCAGTGGTTCCGCCACCTGCCTTGCAAGTGCAAGGACCCGAGTTCAATCCCCGGTACAAAAAAAAAAAAAAAAAATTAAGCCTGAACTGCATAGTGAGACCCTATCTCAAAAAAAAAAGCATTGAGATAACATAGTAAATGTAATACAGGGCAGTTTTCAAATGAACCAGTAACTCGTAACTTTTCATGACATCTTGGGCAGAGACCATATTTATCCTCTTATACTATTTCAATTTTAGTACATAATGCTTTAAGATCTGCATGGGATAAAGTGTGATTAAATCATTCAGGGGCCGGGGATTTAGCTTAGTGGTTCCACCGCCTGCCTCAAAAGCACAAGGACATGAGTTCAATCCCCAGTACCATAAAAAAAAAAAAAAAAAAAAAAAATTATTCGGCATAGGCCCTAGGTAACAAAGTTCCTAAGTAACTACTATTAAGTACCACTAACATACATGATACCTTGAACACACTTCATTCTTACCTGTCAACCTCAAGGGAGGATATTTACATGACAAATTCAACAAATTCAACATGGTATTTATTCTCATCACTTCAGTTACTAATTTTTTTTTTTTTGGTACTGGGGATGGAACTCAGGACCTTGCACTTACAAGGCAGGCATGGTGCCACTAAGGTAAATACCCGGCCCCCTTCAGTTACTAATTTTAAATGGATATCTTAGCATTTTTACACTATATTGATATTTGAACAAAACTTAGTAGTAGCAGGACTTTGGAGCTTTATTTGAAATCATTTGTTTTCTTGTGGGGAAATTCTTATTCCTTGATTTAATCTAGTAATATCCTACAAATTGAATAGTAACTAAATATATGTTATATAGTGGGGTTTTTTTGGTACCAGGGACCCAACTCAGGACCTTGTGCTTGCGAGGCAGGTGGAGGCACCACTGAGCTAAATCCCTGGCCCTGTATGCAGTTTTTTGTTTTTTTTTAAAATTTTTTTTATTTTTCAATTTTATTGATTTATGCAATAATTTTTATTGTTTTTTTTCTTTTGTTTGCATTAATTTTATTTATTTATTTATTTTGGTACCGGGGATCGAACTTGGGACCTTGCACTTGTGAGGCAGGTGGCGGAACCACTGAGCTAAATCCCCGGCCCTCCTGTATGCAGTTTTTATATTGTTAAATCTCCCTCCCCAAATTGGGAAAAATTAACTATGTATACATCTTTAAAGGATTATGATGATTTAATTTTATTAGAAAAAGTTACTTGGGTTTCTAAATCATATGAGATGATTTGTAACACAAAAGACAGAGATGTACTGTAGCCAGGAATTATGATGCATGGCTGTAATCCCAGCACTTGGGAAGCTGAGGCAGGAGGACTGCTACAATTGTGAGGCCAGTCTGGCCTCACAGTGACTTTAAGGACAAAATGAACTACATACCAAGACTCTTGTCTCAAAAAAAAAAAAAAGATGTACTGTATATTGAACTGCCTGAGGTTGGTTGTCTATATATGTAAAACGCACAAACAGCAAAGTAATACTATGTAACGCAATGAATGAAATGAATACACATGAAAATCTATTCAGCTAAAATGAAGTTCATACATTTTAAAGTCCTAGGCTTAAGATAAATCAGGATTTAGCTCAGTGGTCCCATCCCCGGTACCAAAAAAAAAAAGAGAGAAATCTGCATGAAAAAATCTAGTCTTTCACCAATGTTGCTAAAACTACCCTATATTTTATTGGCCAATTATATAAGTAGAAATCCCACTGGGGTTGTAGTTCAGTGGCATTGTGCCTGCCTGCCAAGAACAAGTTCCTGAGTTCAATCCTCAGTACTGGAAAAAAAAAAAAAAAAGAATGAGGCCCTAAGAAATATCTCATGTCATCCCTCACATCAAATATGGAGATTTCTTTCTTCTTTCTTTCAGTATAACTAAATAGAGAAAATTCTTATTTCTGAATCCAGAAAAGCTGCTTCCAGATGAGAAACTTTAAAATTAATGGGCCAAGACTGCAAGCACAAGGACCCGAGTTCAATCCTCGGTACCAAAAAATAAAAATTAAAAATAAATAAATACATAAATAAATAAATACATAAAATTAATGGGCCAAGAACTAAGAGCACCAACTTTTCAAGCCATGCTTTCTCATATACTTGTGACTCAATGCTTGTATCTTCTCATCATTGTGAAAAAAATTAAAACCACTTAAAATGGGAAAATAGCATTTCTATGGGATTTAAACGTTGTCAGTTTCAAATATAAATGCTAAAATAAAAGCATTGCTCCTCAGAAGATACTCATACCATAGCATTTAGGAGGCAAGTGTAGAGCTCTCCCAAAATTTAACACTTCTGGCCAAGCTTACACATGTTTACATCTATCTAGCTCCACTACAGTAACTGCTCTTAACATACCCTGCGTCACAGCCTAGCAACAGAGTACACTGTAGAGTATCAGTTGTTGACCCTTGTTATCGCTGAGAACTGTGATTTACTGTAGCTTCCCAGTATTATAGGAAGAGTACTTTAGTGCTTATGGCTAGCATAGGAAAAGATTAAAATTCAAAATCTGAAGCACAATTTCTACTGAATGCGTATTACTTTCACATCATCTTAAAGTTGAAAAATAAGTCAAATCCCCTAATTTGATGACTGTCTATACAGGATATAGGTTGTATGCCTTTTAGTTGATTAGACTACTGCTTTGGACTTTTATAGTAGTTATTTTAAAAATATTTTAGTACCAACAACTTATATTGATCATTTAACAAAAAGTAAAAAAATTTCTGGAGTTCATATACAATGGATTTTTAGTTCACGGGCGTGACTACTGAAAGAACTTGGATACTTCTGATACAAGTTAAAGACATCTTTTTTTTTTTTTTTGAGACAGAGTCTCACTCTGTAGTGCCGACTGGCCTTGAACTCACTATGTAGTTTATGTTGGCCTCAAACCCACAGGGATCCTCCTGCTTCAGCCTCCTAAGTGCTGGGATTACATGTGTGAGCCGTTATGCCCAGCTTGTTATCTGAAGCCTTTTCAGAACTACCATTAGATACTCTAGTAAAAGAAACTAATATAAAAGAAAGCTCACCTTTTCAATATTTCCATATAAGCAAAACAGGTTGAAGACTCTTGAACAATTCATTTTTAGTTGATGTAATCCACTAACCATTACAACTGAACCAGAGGGATTTCCTCCATGCATGTAAGATGAGGAAGCCTGTGGCAGTGGATATGCAACAAGCTCAGGCGTATCTCGAGAGCCCATTCTGTAACGACTTGGTAAAGGCAATAATGGACCATGGGATCCTATAAAAATGACCAAAATAAAAGATACACACAGTTATATTCACAAATACTTAAGTAGATGGCACTTCACATACAAAAAATAATTCTTTTTTAGTGTTAAGGATAGAACCTAGCACCTCACATATGCCAGGTAAGTGCTCCACCACCAAGCTATATATATCTCTACCTGCATCCCCCCACAGTAAATGTTAAAGACTCTTAATGTTACCAAATTTGATGTATATACAAAAAAACCCCTTCAAGTATGACTATTTAAACCTAACTGTAGAAAACTAACAAAATTTGTATTTGTTCTGACAAGATTCAATATTCTGACCTTGACTTGCATACAGGCTAAAGTTATGGTGAATTCTTTTTTTTTTTTGGTACTGGGAATCGAACTTGGGACCTTGAGCTTGCGAGGCAGGTGGCAGCACCACTGAGCTAAATCCCCAGCCCGAATTCTAGTTTTTAATATTCTAAATACCACTGCCATGTATAATTACACAACAACACTACAGTGCATAGAAACACGGTGTGAATTTCTGCAACTTTAAGGAGAAATGTTCATCAACATATAGGTTACTGTTCATGGTTTTTAAATGCCCCTTTTATGATGATTGGTATTTTATCAAAACAATATAGCTTATGGTGAGTGAACTGTTAGCAACTGTACATATTTGGGTCTCTTAATTTAAACTAAGGTTCAAATAGCAAATATTTTTAGCCCTACTGCAGAAGCACATATTGACATTACACTGACTCTGCCACTACCATTTGCCTGTACAGTAACAATATTTCATTATAATCTATTTCTTTTTCATGGGAAATGGAAAGTCCTGAAGTAAATGAGCAGTAGAAATTTTCACTCTGCTTAGGTCCAAACTCAGCTAAGGTCCAAAAGCATTAAGATCCACTCACAACCCTAGGTAACAACCATAATCAGTGCATGAGAGTAAATAATGTTTATAATTATGACCTTCAGCCACCAGAATTAAATTGTTATCTTCACTATTTGTTACCTATATTATTTAGGATAAGAAAGATGAGAAGTCTTTTTCCTACTTCATCTTGCTTCTCTTCTCCACCTCTTTTTATTTATGCAAGCTCTCTCTAACCCATTCTGCTTGCATCTCCAGGAAAACAGAACAAATTAACCTCAAAGTTCATTATCTTAAAGGACACAGCTCAGAATGGATGCCCCATCATGAGCCCCAACACAACTATTCCCTCAGCAGGACTCTTCAGAACCTCAATAATCCCTATTTAGTAACTGTTACTCCAAAGAATTTGGCCCTTTTTCTTTACATGAGTTTACATTATTCTTTCAGTTTTGTCTATCCCACTTTGGCAAGACATTTAACCAGTTTGCAGCCCTCACCTGACTGCCACTGACATATTAAACTCCACAATTATACTACAAACTAGTAATTAGCAATTTTTAAACAACCCTCTATTATCAAGTACAATAGACTCCCTATAAGTGTTTCTTTACAAGACCAAAACTAACCATACAACTACATTTAATATTTATTATAGAAACAACTAAGAAAAATGATCAAGAAAGACACTCATTAAAACTGTAATAGGACTCATTCTGTGCCACACTTACTGATGTGACATAGATGATTTCAAAAACCTTTGCCAGAGGCCGGGGATTTAGCTCAGTGGTTTCACAGCCTGCTGTGCAAGCGAAAGGACCCAAGTTTGATCCCCAGTACCAAAAAAACCCACCTTTGCCATACAGATTACTAGAGATCCTTAAATATACACATATACAAGAAATAAATCTCTGTGGTGTCCAGACAAAAGGACACTAAGTAGTAAGCTAAAACAGCTAAGAATGGTCCTAATAAGCAATTTGACAATGTTCAGGATAAAAGGCAACATCAGGGGTTTTCTGATGATAAATTCCAAAAGTATAATACAGCAATTTCTTTTTTTTTTTTTTTGGTACCGGGGATTGAACTCAGGACCTTGTGCTTGGCAAGACAGGCAGCAGCACCACTGAGCTAAATCCTCAGCCCGGCAATTTCTATTTCCTACCATGTCTAAACAGTACTATATTTCAACTTTAAAGCATAAGAGGGATCAATAATGGCTGTTAAAAACTAAAACTACTTAAAGTCAATTTATAGCCAGTTAAAAGTCTTATCAATAGCAAGTCTCAACATCTACTTAGAAGAATAATCTGAAGCTTAACTTTTTTCCCAGGAAAGATTCTAATTCTATATTTCATAATCTTAAAATTTATCAACACACCAAACAACAAATGCTGAGAAATTTTAAAAGGGGAATTAAATGCAAACAAATTTAACCAAAACCAAGATACTAACTATAAAACCAAAAGAAAAGTCTAAACAAGAAGCATGTTTCCTTTTTGGCAGATTTTCCACTTTTTCTGCCTTTATTACTCAAAATTCCTCTTTGCTCATAATTGCTGAATGAAAATAAACTTACTGAGCTTTAATACCCCTTTTATGATCCTCTTACAGTTGAGAACCCACTATAAACCAGAACAAACCAAATATGATGGCAAAAAAGTTTTTCAATCCCCAACCAATAGCTCTCAATTTATCTCAAGGATTATTTGGTATATCAATATCCTTTAAAAAGGGATTTGGGGCAACTTCCTGGGAACACATTAGAAGGGACTACTCCCATGTAAGCCACATCAAGTAGGTAGGAAGAAAACGGAGGCAAGAATGAGCCATTCTTCATCAGAAATGCAAAAATTCTAACAATTTGCCTATACTTCCTTCCTTCTGCCTTGACAAACTTACCATAGCCATCATGTCTAAATGAAGATGGGTGTTCTCCCAAAATGGCTTGTCTCTGGCGACCCTTTCCTCTATCTGACACAAAAGTAGAAACATGGTTTTAACAATTTTGACTCAAGTACTTGACAGAGTTCTCACATGGGAAACACCATTCAAAACATCCATTATACTACATAAAAGAAATATGACTCCTGGTTAACTTTAAACATCCATTCATATCCAATTTAAATACAAACACCAAAAGTTTAAGAAAATAATTCTACCTAACAAATTCCACTTGACTTGAAAATAACTTTTTGGTAAATGCCAAATACAATCACACTTTCAAATTTAAAAAGAGATACTTTGCAAAAAGTGAATGTACACAATGCTAGAGTTTTGACACTGTACAGAAGTTTTTACCAATACATGTCTTTAAAACAAGCTTTAAGTTCAGTACTTTTGAAAGACAGTACCTGAATCATACTATTAGCTTCAACAGCAACACATTTTCAAAGTGGGCTTCTTTCAAGAAGTTTCAGCATAAGCCAACAACAACCTGTATTACACGGTTTCACAATCAGTAAACACAGAGTATTTTTAATGGATATACACATATTTACAATCACCTGACTTGAAAGCTGAAAATTTGCACATCACTGGCTCATATTATATCATTTATATCAGCCATCGTCTATAGACCTTAACATCAGGCAGAATATGAGCAACTCACAAAGTTTAAATATGCCAAGATAAAGCTAACCAAGGGGGCCACATTATTGGATGAGAATACTACAATACTCTAAAGGATAATTTTATATTCTATTTTATTATTTTTTCAGGAAAAGCGTGCCAATTTTCCCAAATCTTATTTGAGAAGTCAATTAAAAAATTATTTGTAGTTTCTAAAACAGAACTTATGCTGATGAATAAATTTCAAAAATCATTGTACAATACTTTTAGAAAGTTTCCTGATTAAATTACAGTGCCCAATAAGACTTTTTGTATATGTAACTTAAAGCTTTGGTCATTCTGATCTTTGAAAATTCAGAGGGAGGCTCCCTATATATTCTTGGTCACCTAAACAAATAGCATTTTATGGGAGATGAGAAATATTTTCACTTCAGTCTAGAGAAATACAATTTAACTACCTATTCCAAGTATCATAGCATTGAAAGATACTATGGAGGTCATCTACTTCAACTTTCATTCAATAGGAAAACTCTCTTATCATCCCTATTAATTGGGACCATCTAGTCTCTGCTTACCCGATACTAGTACAAACAAGTACTTACTACCTTCCCTTATGTTTTCAGATATACTAAATTGTAAGAAAATTAATTTTGGTATTATATAGAAATTAATCCTCTATCCATATTCTAAGGCTCTCTCATTTGGAACCTTACAGACTCAGTCGTAACTGAAACCTCTTTCACATGCTTAAAAAACTATTGTGACCCTTCCCTTATATCCTCCAAAGTTATTGCTTCTCCATTGTAAATACTCACAGTTCCTTTTTATTAATTACATGTCTTCCAGTATCTCTCTCATCATTTAAGTCTCACTGCTCTTCAATCAATCCAGTCTGCTAATCTGTTACTATTTCTGTTTAAGAAATCTTAAACCAAAACCACCATAATATCTTCATGGCTTAACTGCCTTGATATACGCACTTATCAGTGTGCTAAAGGAAAGAGAACTAGATTGGGAATCAGAAGATTCCAACTGAACTACTAATTTGCTAAACAGTCACAGAAACTCACAATCTTCATTCACATAATGCAAGAATGAAGAGTAGATGATTTCCAAGGTATCTTTCAGCCATACGTTCTCATTATTAATAATTCTTGCTGGGGATTTAGCTCAGTGGTTTCGCCGCCTGCTTTGCAAGCGCAAGGACCTGAGTTCGATCCTTGGTGCCAAAAAAAAAAAAATTCTTTATTTGAAACATTCACTGCCTAATATGAAGTCACACAAACAGAACTGCACACAGAAGTCAAACACTGAATAGATTTATAGTCTATTAATAGTGTTTTATAAGTTTTTATGAATCCAACTGAAATCTAATGAAAGCTATGAATTTTCTTCCCCCAAAAATGCACATATATACGAGTTTTGCTTCACATTTCTGAAGGGATTCTCTGGCCTTCAGGCTAAGGATTCTTTTCACTAAAATGTTAACAGGGGTGAAAAGAACTCTCTAAAATGAAATTTTTTTTTTTTTTGGTACCAGAGATCGAACTCAGGACCTTGTGCTTGTGAGGCAGGCACCAGAACCGCTGAGCTAAATCCCCGGCCCCAGATGAAATATTTTTTAAATAAAGGTTTGTGGGGGGTTTTTTTGGTGGAAAAAGATATGAAGGCCTCTATTTAGGCAGAACACAGAAGGTCTCAAAATCATCTATACTAAAATCATTATAGAAACGAAAGCACAGGGCTGGGGATGTAGCTCAGGAGCACAGCATCTGCCTGGCAACCATGAGATCCTGAGTTCAATCCCCAGTACCAAAAAGACCCCCAAAACCAAAAAACAGAAAACAAAAGCATAAAAACTGTTTTACTTCCTTTAATTATATTTCACTAATTATCTACCTTACACATTTCTAAATAAACATCTGACTAGAATCATGTGAAAAACTAATATAAGTTGGCTTTGTGTGAGCTTCTCTGATCTTTTTTTTTTCTGATCTTTTTAAAGAATACACATGAACATGGTTTAAATCTAAATCTTTTGTTTGTTTGTTTAGTTTTTGGTTTTTTTGGTACCGGGGATCGGAACTCGGGACCTTGTGCTTGTGCTTTCGAGGCAGGCGCCAGAGCCACTGAGCTAAATCCCCCACTAAATCTTTTAAGAGACATTTTAAAAAATGCAACTCAAACTATTTCAAATAAGTAAATAAAACCAGCACTGAGTGTTCAATAACTGACTATAAGTTGACAGAAGTGAGAGATTTCTCATCAACCACTTAGCCTGTTGTTCTGAGTGCTAAGGCTTTGTTTTCAAATATTGAATGCAACTACACTACATAAGGTCAAGCAGATTCCCATCAAGTAGTGAAAAATTTGGGGTCTGCTGCAAGTTGCATACAAACAAATTACAACCCCATAAATATATAAACTGAGATGATTTCCCAAAAATCAAGTTAAGTCAATCATCTAAAAGCCTTAAATATTTGAAAGTGCAAAAGATAATCACATTGTCTTAAAAAAAAAATCTTTTGCTAGAGTACATGCACTGTGAAGTATCCAATGTCCAAGGTATTCTGGATGTCAAACAATTTTCTTCTAGTTGACTTTTGGGTTTTTTTGTTGTTGTTTTTGAGACAGGGTCTTGCTATGTAGTTCAGGCTATCTTTGAACTCACTATGTAGCCCAGGGCCTTGAACTTGCCACAATCCTTCTATCTCAGCCTCCAGAGTGCTGAGATTACAGGCGTGTGCCAGCATACCCGGCTCTAGTTGACTTTTACAACTACACTCATCTTGAGTTTTTCCAATATGTGGTTCAAACACTGATATTGTAGTTGAGATATAGCCAATACTGCAGCCCCGTTGTTTTTACAAGATCCACATTTTAATTTGCATATTCCAGAATTGCCACAACAGTTGAACAATTTTATCAAATCTATGCTCATGAAATTTAGATCTTATGGGCTATAGGTGATACTGCATTTCAAATGAAATGCTCTTTTTTTTCAGATTTACCAAGTTTAAATATGTATTTTTTCTTTTTGTTTGAGGTACTGGGGATAGAACTCAGGACCTTGTGCTTGCCAGGCAGGCGCAGCGCCACTGAGCTACATCCCTAGCCCAAGTTTAAATATATTCTAACTTGAACAGACATGTTACCTTCACCTATACTTGAAATATCAATTTCTAGTTATACAAATTAACATAAATGATAACCTTAAATCATTACAAAAAGTGACAAATTATAAACAGCCACTTTACAAAAATCAAACCACACAAAGAAAAACACCTTTTACATATAAAGCACCTTGTTATTTTGTTAGAATTTCTGTTCAATGTCCATAATTGAGAAAAAAACAAAAACAAAGTAAATGAAGTGCAGCATATATGCATCTTTTTTTTGGTACTGGGGATCAAACACAGGGCCTTGCGCATGCTAAGCACACACTCTACCACTGAGCTATAGCCCCAGCCAAGTATGCCCTTTTCTCATCCACATATCTTTTAATATGTAGTGGCTGAGCATAGTATCAAATCCCAAGACCTACAGTTAAGCTGACTCTGGTTATCTGCCATTAACAATTTGAATCTAAGCTGCAAACAGTTACAGTAATGGGTATTAAGATTTACAACATTGTAAATAAAGTCTAGTTTCCGTTAGTGAAAAATCTTAAATTCTACAACTGAAACCTTAAAGGAAATCAGACCAATATACACATCCAACTTGAATAAATGGGCACAGTCTATCATGGTGTTCTCATCCCATGCAAGTCTGAAGTACTGTTAAGTGTCCTCCTTTAAAAACTTGGGGTGATGGTGCATGCAGTATGCAGTCAGGTGAATTGCAAGTCTGAGTTTTTCAGAGGGCTTTTTGCTGATGCCGATGTTGTGCATGATGAAGTGTAGAGTCAGCCTGCTGGAGTCCTCTATCCTTCTTAATGCCTTGTCCAGCTTGGGGGGAAAAGTCCTTTCCATAGAGAAGCAGTGTGCAAGTTTGCAGTTTGTAAGGAATATTCTGAATCAGTTTCCTCTCCTCCAAAGAGAGAGAGCTGCTTGGAGAAATGCAAGTCCTTGAACTGCGGGCGTGCCTGTATGTATGGGCTCCTTGTTGCACTAAATTTAAGTAGCTCAGTACATACCAGTAGGGGGCACTAATGTTCAAGGTTATTTTCCAGCATTACATGGCCTTTTCCAAGAGCATTCACCAACAAGGCTTTCGTCTGATTTAACTAGCTCATCTCAGAACAAAAGAATCTTAACTGCATGTAAAAATTTGTCAGCAGGTAAGTACATTCTAAAATGCATAAAATACCTACCTCGTCTTCCCAAATATGGTTTAGTGTAGTCCCAACTGTCATTGTCATTCCTAATAACATTTAGACGTGTAGGCTGTTAAGATTGAAAATAAAATAAGTTCAAATCATTTACTCAAAGCATAAATATTTCTTTGGTGAAGTGTGGAAAAAAATACTTACTCTTGCATATTCAATTTTTAGTGTGCAACATCCAGCATATATATCTGCTCCATTAAGTGCTGCCTTGGCTTTCTGGGCACAAAGGACTGATTCAAACATAAACTCTATTAAGGAAATCTGTTTTAAGGTACCCAGTATTTAATCATTCTTCACTCACAAAGAAAAGGACTAAAAATAATTGGAATAACTTTTTTACTTTGGAAATGTTTGCCAAAAACAAGTTCTAGATAAATTTTGGTATAAGATTTTTAAGCCCAAGAGTGCCAAAGAAAACAATACAATCAGGGGGCCAGGGATTTAGCTCAGTGGTTTCGCTGCCTGCTGCACAAGCGCAAGGACTCAAGCTCCCCAGTACCAAAACAAACAAACACAAACAAAAAAACAATACAATCAGGGCCGGGGATTTAGATTTAGCTCAGCCTCACAAGCCCAAGGTCCTGAGTTCAATCCCTGGTACCAAAAAAAAAACGCCCCAAAAACAATACAATGAAACTACACTAATCCTTCTGAGTCATCAGAAGTACAGTATTTTATAAACTGGGGAATAAAAAGAATAGAGCATGGTCCTATTTCCTAATAAAGGACAATCTGCAACCCTGAAACAGGAAATATTTTACTCTTTAAAGTAGAAAGAGGGAGGGGAAGGGGAAAGGAAAGAAGGGAAAAGAAAAAATATGAGAAAAGGAAAATCACGGAAACAAAATCTTTGTAAACAGGGAAGGGTGGAGGGGGTGAAGGGAAGGCAGGGGAATAGGGCAAAAATAAGAACCAAGGTACATCATGTAAAGGTACAAGATCCCAATGAGGAATGTAAATGTATAAACCTAAAATGTACCAATAAACTAAATGGGGGAAAAAAAGGTAGAAAGAACATTATACATAGAGCCAAAATAATACAAATACTTGATTCTTATGTATTTCTGAAAAGGTAAGGTTTTTACAATCATTTAACTATCTTAATTTTATTTTGTAAAAATTACCTAGGTCTGTATTTAAAAAAACAAAAACAAATCAATGAAGTATATAAAATTTAAAAAATCAAAAGTAGAAATGCTTTCCTAGGAGCAGGTACTGTTAAAGAGTTTGCTGTACATCTCATTCCTACTTTTTTCTATGCATGCCCATGCACATATACGTTGGGGTCTTTGACCACTATATTTAAAAATGATCTTGGGACTGGGAATGCAACTCAGTGACAGACTGCTTGCTTGGCATGTGTGAGGCCCTGGGTTCAATCTTTCACACTGACAAAAAATAGTACTATATAGAGTATATGTAGTATTATATACACTATCTTGCAACTTGCTCTATGTGCTCAGCGTATTAACAAACTTAACATAGAAAAGATCTTATATAAACCATGACCATTTAAAAGGTTCAAGAAAGAAGGGTAAGAAAAATTCTAGTTATTAAAGTTTTGCTACTTCTATATTATATTAAGAGGACAGCGGGAGAAGCTCATTTGGAATAAACTTCAGAAAGGTAGAAATGTTCATATTATCTAATAGTATTATTTTACAATGTAAGATGAAGTATTGGACTGTTTTATGGTAGCAAGTTATTCTTATCAAAATAGTAAAATTCTCTATGAGTACTACACTTTTCTCTTTTTTTGGTACCGGGGATCAAACTCGGGTCTTTGCGCTTGCGAGGCAGGGGGTGGAACTACTGAGCTAAATCCCCGGCCCATACACTTTTCATTTTTAAAATCTAAGCCAAATAGATTCTTATGGGAAAAAAAAATACCACTTGTCTAGAAATGCTTAATTAGAAAAAAGTTCCATATGACTTACACAACATTCACAGACATCAATTAAAAATTTACAAATAAAGGATATTCAACCATTGCTTGTATCCCATTTCTCTTGAATATAACAATGCGTTGCACTTTTCCAACAGGGTTGCATACAGTATATAACACATCCTGTAAAGGTAAAAGACATTTCTCACATTTTATATTTAGAAAAACATTGTAAGTATGCTCCATTTTATCAAAAACCCAACAACTTTCATTTCTATTAATTACTAATTTAAGGTAAAAAAAATTTTTTTTGCAGTACTTGGGGGATCATACTCAGGGCCTCATATAGGCTAGGGAGACACCACTGATTCCATCCCCAAGTTTTAAAAAATTAGTCTTTAAAACTTTAAGCTAGTTATTTCCTCACATAATAAACCAACACTGGAGACTCTTTTAATAAAATGTTTGAGGAGCACTGTTAACTATTTTATCTCCTAAATGAATCCTTGGTATTTCTTTGGTGGTGGGGTACCAGGGATCGAACTCAGGACTTTGCAATTTCGAGACAGGCGGCAGAACCACTGCGCCAAATCCCCAGTCCCCTCCTTGGTATTTCTTAAAGGTAATTAAAACAGCCTCCAGCAACACAGAAACCAAAACTGTAACCAAGTAATTTTTTTTTCCAAAATGTGACTCTGAAATGTTTAAAATTATAGTATTTGAATTACAGCAACAAATACTTATCATGTTAACACTGTTCATTTTTCAAGGGACAATGACTATAAAGAAAAGACCCAAAGATCATTTATACTGTGGTATGTGTCACCAAACAAGATGACTGAGTCACTGTGACTCAGAATCTAAATACTCACTGAGGAGTAATGATTCAATTTTCAAGCAATTTATTGAACAGCTATAATCACACAGCTGTACTATCAGGTACTAAGGATATAACAAAAATTAAGTATCTGTACTATATTAGTTGTATTGTTTTTCTAAAACATCAAATATTTTAGATATATTAATACTGTCTTTTTTATATTAGAAAAGTAAACAGATGACTAATTAAATTTAAAGAGTACCTTATATTTAGCTGTTAAGTTTATGAACTCTATCATATGCCCATACTAGAAATCATACCAACTGAAGCTTCCCTTACTGTGCTATTCTAGTCATTAAATAAAAACATCAGGCACCAGCCAGGCATGGTGGTGCACAGCTGTAATCCCAGCACTCTGAAGACTGAGGCAGGAGGATCACTGTGAGTTCAAGGCCAGCCCGAACTACACAGGGAAACCTTGTTTTGAAAAAACATAAGGTGTCTCTGTCACTAGCTTTATGAAACATGTCATATCAGGCAGAAAATTAACCTTGTTCAGAACATGAATCTTTTTTAAAAATTCGGACTTTTTAAAAGGGTAAAGGAACAGGAAATTTTACATATCCCACTGTTCTTGCCACTCTGTGGCAGTTCTGTAAGTTCTCTTTCATATCTTTAGTTGTGCTGTCGTGGCTGCCTTGATTTCCTGAATTGATTCAATTCAAAACGTTTACCAGTGGTGCCCTGTTTGCCTGGCAAGCGAAAGGTCCTAAGTGCAATCCCCGGTACAAAACAAACAACAACAACAAAAACAAAACATTTATTTTTCATGGTCATTTTGACTTTGGAGAGGAACCAGAAATTGCACAGTGCCAGATCCTAAAGATCCAGTGTGTAAGGTGGATGGGGACACATTCTAATGTCTTATGAGCCTGCATTTCTGTTGGCTAGCACTCCGCAGCAGCATTCCCCAAATTTTTAATCACACCTTATAAAGAGACTTCCAAAACTGCTTCACAAAGTGTCAAGAATGATGAGCTAAGTACTTGAAGCAAGGGGAAGTATTTTGAAGATTAACAGCAATGAGTCTTGCACTATAATAATTTTTTTATTTAAACATCTTGTGTATGTGCATCTTACTGTAAAACAATATTCACTAATGGTAAATAATAAAAAATTTAAAGTGACTAATTATGATAACCTTCTCATCTTTCTGGCCTCAGTACTATTTTTTCTTTGCTCATTAAACTTGATAGACAAGACTAATTTAATAATTAAAACTATTCTAAAATATCTAGTTGGGAGATAAAACTATATATTAGTCCTTGTAGAAGCAGTTTGTCAAACCAAAATACATACTACTGTAATTGGATAAAGAGGATTCTGAATCGATAGCAAAAGGACTTTGTTGCCTCCTGATGGATCATCAGTGTTTCCTGGACGAGTAATCCTTTTACTTGTAGAATAGTTGAAAAAGGCCTGTTGACCAGCAATGTACACAGGTTCATCTGCAGCAAAGGTCACACATTCTTTGGCACTATCTATATTTTCAAATTCCACTAGAGCCTGTCGTTTAAATGGCATCATCATCACATAGCTGAAAAGAAAGAAAGGGAATATCAAAATATCACAAGTTCAATTAACATTATACTGTAATAAAATCATGTCAAATCATAATCACAATCATACTAACTCCATTGAATTTCCCAAATAAGTGCCCACAATAGTAATTAAAAATTCACTAGACTTTTAAAAGTAGAGAACCAAAAGATAAATAGAAGCAACCACAGAGTAATCAAAGTTTACAAATACTGTTTCTCCAAAATACTTTAAATATCAGAGAATCCATGAGAAGACATTTATTTGAATACGGTGTCACAGGTGCCTATGGACAAGAGGGTGAGGTATTTCCCTTTTTTTGAGTTAGTTTGTTTTCTGAAACATGGTCTTGCTATGTAGTTCAGGCTGGTTTGAACTCACTATGTAGCCTGGGTTGGCCTTGAACTCACTGGCTATCCTCCTGCCTCAGCCTCCCAAGTGCTGAGATTACAGGCCTACACCACCACACCCAGTTTGGTATTTACCCTTCATAATATATTCCTTTGAGGGGAATATTCAAAACAAAAAGTGAAGGGAGAAAGAGAAATTACAGCACATTGCCTGTATTACTGAAAACATGTCCTCTATTCACAGAAACAAGAACTTTAAAAATATTTTAAATACAATCAACATTTTTTTTTTCCAGTACTGGGGATTGAACTCAGGACCTTGCGCTTGCAAGGCAGGCGCAGTGCCAGTAAGCTAAATCCCCAGCCCTCAACATGGTTTTTGTAACAGCAGAAGGCCAGAGAAATCAAATCAGGTCAGATGCTCAGTGACATCACTACTTCTAATCCAAGCTCTAGGACTACCACTTCACTTTAGTACAGTAAAAAAAAGACCATTTTACAGCCCAGAAAATCACTATTCTTATGAGTTTGAGTTAGCAGAGTGCCTGTCATACTATGAGTCCTTAATAAAAGCAGGTACTATTATATTTTCTATAAATCTGGCCACATACATCTTTATGTCCTCAGAATCAAGAAATAGAGCCTGGCACATAGTACATACTCAACATTTGTTGGTCTAAGAGGCTTGTTAGCTATCTTCACCCATACCATTCAAAAATAAAAAAGTAAATACTGGGCCAGGGATTTAGCTCAGTGGTTCCAGCGCCTGCCTCGAAAGCGCAAGGTCCTGAGTCCTATCCCCGGTACCAAAAAAAAAAAAAGTAAATACTGAAACAATAAAGGCCCTGGGTTTAACAACTATAAGTGTAAGAGATAAACTCCACGACAGAAAACATGTCTTTTTCTTTTTTTGGTACTCGGGATCAAACTCAGGATCTGGCGCTTGCACGGCAGGGGCCGGAACACTGAGCTAAACCCCTGGCAGAAAACATGTCTTTAAGAACCGAAGTTCTTGCACATGAAAAACAGAAAACCCAATGCTAAGGTAGTCAGGAAGAAATAATGTTCTCTCACAAAAAAAAAGATTTGATATAGCATAAATCATATTACCAAGTAAATAGGTTAATAATATCCTTTGGAAATACAGAAATATTACAAAGAAAAAAATCTTCCCTGGTACTGGGGATTAAACCTGGGCCCTTCGCACTAAGCTATATGCCCAGCCCTTTTTATTTTCTATTTTGAGACAAGGTCTGGGTAAGTTGCCCAGGCAGCACTTAAAACCAATTCAGGACTCAGAATTCCAAGTTCGAGCCCAGCTACTTGGTAGGATCAGTCAAGAGGATTGCAAAACCTAGCCTGGGCAACTCAGCAAGACCCTGTCTCAAAATAAAAAATAAAAGGGGCTACGGATATAGCTTACAGGTAGAGTGCCCCTACATTCAATCCTCAGTACAGCGAAAAAACCAACACCATACATAAAAAACAAAAACAGAAGGCAACAGATTCAGTGTATAAAAGTTTAAAAGTTTTGTTTTAAAACTAGTATAGCTAATCACTATCCAAAATCTTCTGTAATAAGAAAGAAGAGAGGAAAAGAGACTTTCTAAAATTTTTTGGGGGGGAGTTATTTTTGGTTTTTTGAGACAGGGTCCCCCTATTAGTCCAGGCTGGAGTCAAACTCACAGCAATCTTCCTGCCTCCCAAGTGCTGGGATCACAGGTGTATGCCACCACATCCAGCTGAGACATTTTAAAATACTCCTCTGATTTTAATACATAAAAATAATGAATAAATATAAGATAAAAAGGTAAAATACAGTAACCTGACACAACCATTCATAACAACTTGTTATTCTGTTGCTATTTCTTGTTAGTTTCTATTATTTCTCAACTTTACATCAATTTTTAGGTATAAATTTACTATAACTGAAGTTGATGATTTATCTTCAATATGAGCAGTTTCTATACTTTTTATCTCACATATATCACTAAATAGACAAATAGATACAGGTTCTATAAATGTACTTTACATTTTAAATCACATCTTGAAGCAAAACTGTCAATTGGAGGTTGTTCAAGGTTTTTTCAGTTTAACAGCAACCACCTTCTACTATTTCATTCCACTGAAACTTCTATTATACTTATTTATGCCAATTAAGCTCTTAATTACACACTAATTTGTTCTAATTATTCACAATTTTACTATCCACATAATACCACCTGAGGGCAGATGGATGTACTTTCAAATTAAATGACATTCATATATGAAAGACTTTACCACAGATTAAGTATCAGACAGTATACAGTCTAAAAATGGACAGGACATCTAGGAATAACTGAAATTATTAACTTTGGGGGTTTTTTCCCATTTTATTGGGGCCTTTCTAGCTGGGTTTTTTTTTTTTTTTGAACTGGGGATCGAACTCAGGCCCTTACACTTTTGAGGCACCTTTTGAAGCAGGTGCCGGCACCACAGAGCTGAATCCCTGGCCTTGGGACCTTTGTATATCCTCAGCAAATGCTCTACCACTGAGCTACATCCTCAGTCCTTCTTTGAAATTTTTTTTTTGGTACCAGGGATCAAACTCAGGACCTTGCGCTTGTGAGGCAGCCACAGCACTGCTGAGCTAAAGCCCTGGCCCCCTTCTTTAAATTTTATTTTGAGGCAGAGACTCACTAAGGCTGGCCTTGAGCTTACAATCCTCCTGCCTCAGCCTCCTGAGTAGCTGAGTAGCTGAGCTTACTGTACAGGCATGTGCCACCACACCTTGCACTCAACAATCCTCATCCCCAACACTCCTGTCATACCCAATTGACATCAAAATATTAAAATACAACTTGCTTTCCAACATTTGTCTCTGTATTTCCTAGCTTTAAGAAATTAATTTTAGCCAGGTATGGTACCACACACTTGTAATCCTATCACTTGTGAGGCTGAGGCAGGAGGATCACTGAGTTCCAAGCCAACACAGGCTACACAGTGAGCTCAAGGCCAGCCAGAGCTACATAGGAAGACCCTGTCTCAAAAAACAAACAAATTTGGCTGGGGACTTAGCTCAGTGGTTCCGCCGCCTGCCCAGCAAGCACAAGGTCCTGAGTTCAATCTCCAGTACCAAAAACAAACAAACAAACAAACAACAACAACAAAAAAAACAAATTAAATTTAAAAGCCTCAAACATAAAATAATTTACTTCTTTGTAATTCGATAGGACAATGTACCACTTGTATGATCGTTAGTAGGTCCTTAAAGACTAGGGTGAGCCTAGTGCATAAGTCAGCTTCAATATGTTACTCTTCAAACAGATCTAACTGCCAACATCCAGTCCACATGACCGAGAACTGATACAGTCCTCTTAGTGGCATTTCAACATAAGGGCTTTATGATGGCCGTATAGATTCTCAATTTACACCTCCTAAGGACAAACAATCTGTAACTGTGGTTTCTGAAGTATAAAGTGACCATAGTTAACCATACAAGTTTGTCAAGTGACCAACTATTCAATGAGGTCACCAAAGAAATTCATAAAATACTATAATGGAAAATGTCACCTAATACTATTCCTAGTCTCCAACTGAAGACATGACCCAATTTCTTTTAGATATCTCTGATCACTATTTGTTCATTACTTTTTCAATACACAAACTTTTATGAAATATTTAAAATTTTTTTATAAAATTGGAGCAATCAGGCTATCTCTGGAACTATATAAAAACTTCATATATTTCAACTTGGTCTGTGCCTTGGATGCCTATAATAAAACCCCTAAACATGCATATCAAGAAAAAAATAACTAAATCAACTCTAGATCATCCATACTTAGAAGATAATAATAGCCAGGCATACTCTAAAAATAAGTTAGAATTTTTGAATGTCTACTTTTGGCAGGAAATTCACTTTTCTAATTATGGGGTTTTTTTTTCAGTTTTTATTTTTTCTTAGTACATTTGTAGTATATAATGATCACATTTCTCGTGGGAAGTGGATACATGTACATAACACATCTTAATTTTTTTATTCCCTTCCCCTCACCACCCCCATCTCTATGTTTTCACTTAGATTTTTACACACAACCTGTCAGAGAGTGAGAGGTGATCACATATTCACAAAAATAAACCTATGCATCACCCTAGGAAGGTTAAAAATAACAAGCTTTAGGGAGGAGAGGGGCCTTCAGGGGCAGAATGGGATAAAATTAAAATAAAATTTATTAAAAAAAAAAAAAAGTAACAGGGCCGGGGATTCGGCTCAAGTGGTTCCCGCTGCCTGCCTCACAAGCGTTAAGGTCCCGAGTTCGATCCCTGGTACCAAAAAAAAGGTAACAACATAAAGGCTGAGAAGAAGCTCAGTGGTATAGTTTGTCTAGCCATGTATAATGCCCCAGTGTGATTTCCCGCACTTGAAAACAGTAACTAACAAGCTAAAAGGTTTCAAAGACACAGTTATAGACAATCTTAACACACACAATGCTAAATATGTAGCAAGCCAAGCACAAGCGTAATCTCAGCTACTCAGGAGGCGGAGAAAGGAGGATAACAAGTTGGAGCCCAGCTACAAAACTTAGTAAGACCCTGTCTCAAAATTTAAAAATAAAAAGAACTGGCAATGCAGCTTGGTACTACCTAGCTTCACTGAGGAAAAAAACATGTAGCAAGCAAGCAAGGCTCGTTCTACCACACTATTTTCAATTCACATAAAGTCCCTATTGTCCTTACCATATTGTCCCAAATTTTTCCAGAGCGTCCACAAGGTCTGCTTCCACCACAGATTCACACAGTCCTCGAACATGGACAACAGGTGAAACAGAAACCTTATGATGACTTCCACCTGCCTCCTAGCAAAAGAAAATAATTTCTATTTAATAACTTTAAATATCTAAATGCCACTTTTAAGTAAATTTCTCTGCATTAAAAAGTAAACATTTAAAAAATAATCCCAAAACCAAAATGCAAAAGAACAAGTTAGCAAAAGAACCTGAGAATAAGGTTATGAACTGAATGGCTGAAAATTTTTTTTAAAAAGAATTCTATCTCAATAAAAAACACAAAAGAAATTTAATAACTTTTTTCAATTTCAAGAAACTCAGAAAACTTTCAACAATACACAAGGCATGCTACAATTAGAAATACTCAATTTTACAGTTTTAACTATAAAAGTTAGTCAAGATCTCATGAAGTTTAAATGAAAACTATCACAAATTTTCCCCTTATATAAAGGTTATATTCTTTGATAGTAGATTTATATCATCTTCTGTTCTTGTTCAACTAATTATATAGTCCCACTATAAATTAACTTACAGTTATTTACTTAGGAGTACATGTGACAAATTTATACAAGGTACCACCTTTGTTGACAAACAAGGATTACTCAAAACTGAAAGCCTTCCTGGGCTTCTATGGAGTAGAAGTCTTTGAGTATGTCAAGAAGGATGTCTCAAAATATGGGTATACAAACTTTAAATTTATCTTAAAATGTAATGTCTGTAAGAATTATTTGAAAATGCACATAGCTCTCATTTACTTATTCAAGTTCTATTAAGACAAAGATCTATATTTAAAAATATCACTTGCGAGCCAGGTGTGGTAGCACATGCCTGTAGTCCCAGCACTCAGGAGGATGAGGCAGGAGGAGGATCACCATGAGTTCCAGGCCAGCCTGGGCTACACAGTGAGTTCAGGGTCAGCCTGAACTACAAAGGAAGACCCTGCCTCAAAAAAACAAAACAAAACAAAACAACAACAAAAAACTCGGCATTTCTCTTGCATTACAACTTCCAAAACAACTTGTGTGCAGTACATGTATATACAAAAGATAAACTATTAGTTATTTTCCTCTAATCTGAAAACACTAATGTTTTACCATTAAACATTAACCGTTTTAAGAAAATTAACTTTTGGGGCTGGGGATTTAGCTCAGTGGTTCTGCCACCTGCCTTGCAACAACAAGGTCCCAAGTTAGATCCCCGGTAAAGAACGAAAGACAGAAAGACAGAAAGAGAGAAAGAAAATTAACTGTTAAGGCTATTTTAAAGACATCAATCTTACTTTACTACGGACTTCAAAGACAATATAACAAGTGGAGTACTCTGCCAATAAAAAAAGTATGTTAGGAGTTTAAAGAAACTGTATAATCATAGGACTGCTCTTATGCTACTGTCAAATCTAACAAATAAATGCAGTCCTTTGCAAACACTAATTTAATCTTTAAAATTTCATTTGACTTGCTATACTCAGAATTTTCTGTGGTTAAAGAGATACTCATTAACCAGGTATGGGGGCGCATGCCTGTAATCCCAGCACTGAGGCTGAGGCAGGAGGACTGCTGTGAGTTCACAAGTTCAAGGCCAGGCTGAACTACATGAGACCCTGTCTCAAAAAAACATTAAAAAAAAAAAGACAGTCATAAATGTGACCATACCCTATGTATACAATATTCATAAGCAATATTAACAAAGAAGGTATCACCTAGGTGAAGCTCAACATCAAGTGTGTTTTATCATCAAATTCTTTTTTTTAAACTAAATTTTATTTTTTATTCCCTTTCCTCCCTCAAAATCATCGAATTCTCAAACAAAGCCACAGGACAATAAAGCAAGAAAAGATCACTAAATAATATCTAAATACTTAATTTAGAGCATACATTTGAAGCACAAACTTTTATTCTCAAAATAGATAGGTTAAATATATAAAGACAATAATTTGAAGCAATTCTTTGAAATAAGCTGGAAAAGTTCAAAGAGCAATAGAAAGCTGGCCCAGACTCTTCAAAAAGTACCAAAATATAATGAAAGGAATATACTAGATTGAGACTAAAGAGCTGCAACAACCAAATGCACAGCCTTCATTTTATAACTGATAATAATTTTTTAATATATTTATTGGTACATTTTAGGTATAAAATACATTTACATTTATCATTGAGTGTTTGTACCTGAACATGATGTATCTTAGTTCTTTTTTCTCCCAGTACCTGCTGTGCACCCTTCACCCCCTCCACCCTTCCCTATTTACACAGACTTTGATTCCATTTTTTTTCTTTCTCATAATTTTTTATAATCGATAATAATTACTGTAGAAGACATATTAGGGACACTTAAAAAATGTGAATATAGAGAGAATGTCAGATTTATTTAACAGAATTACTGTTGTCTTATGTATGAAAATGGTAATGGTTACATGAAAAAATATCCTTATTCTTAGGAATGCTGAGATAGAGATGAAGTACCATGATAGCCAAAACTTACTTTCAAATGGTGTAGGGGAGAAATGGGTAGGGAAATGAGTGGGAGGACTTGTAGCACTGATAGAGCAGTGGGGGCCCAGAAGTTCACTTCCCTCAGCACAGTGGAGCCTGGGAGGCACCCAGGGCCTCTTCCCTAGTCTCTCTCCTTCCCACTGAGCTGGGAAGCCTCCCTGGGACCATTCGGCATAACCTCAGACCAAGGTACCTTCTGCCCTTCTTATTCTCTCGCCTGAAGCCTGACAGTTCTGCACAGCTTGCAGTGTTCCTTTTCTGTCGCCCCATCACCATTTCTCTGTACCTTCAGTAAGTCCAGCTCAGGGGAGGCCGAGGCAGGAGGTTCACCATGAGTTCAAGGTAGGCCTGAATTATGAAGTGAGACCCTGACTCAAAAAATAAAATAAACCTAAAAGCCTTTCCCTCAAAAAAAAAAAAAAAAAGGTGTAGGGGAAAAATATGTATATAAATATACAGATGCAGGGGTAAAACCCTGTATAGCAAAATGTTAAAAAAAACCCTGCTAAGTATATGTAATTTAACATTCTATATAATAGAACTACAAAATTATCGCATACATGAAAAGGTATGACGAACAATATAAAAACACCCAAGAGCCCACCATCTACTTCAGTAAATAAAACACTACCAATCGATTAATCACAACCCCTCCTCCTCCTCCATTCCCATTATGAGTAATCATTATCCTCAATACAGTACTAAAAATATGACTATTTTTCAAATTGCTCTTTCTCACAAAGAAATGGATCACTGGACCAATTGTTAAATTCCTCCAAAGAACTCATTTTAATATACCAAAGTAATTCCCTGAAAGCTAGAGAACATGGAAATGTAAATTACCTGATATGATCAATACACTGTATACACGTATCAAATTACACTGCGCCCTATAAATATGTACAATTATGTGTCAATATAACTTTTAAAAACTTTACAGAAGGACCGAAGATTTAGCTCAGTGGTTCCACCGCCTGCCTTGATGTGCAAGGTCCCGAGTTCGATCAACCGGTACCAAAAAAAAAAAAAAAAA